AGTTTATTTCTTGCCATGATCAGTTGCACTTGCAGGATTGACATTGTTGACTTTAGCCATTTGCTGGAAACTTCCGCCTGTCCGGATTAGAACGGCGCCGACTTGCACAGTACTGCGGCTCGGTTGCACCACAAGTCTTGCCAAACTTCGGGATAGATGGTCGCATCGAATTTTTGTCAACAAGTTGTGTCTGCACTTGGCTCGGTCTCTGCAGCATTCCTCCGATCAGTTTCCTCTTTCTGAATCGGAGCTTGCTTATTTTTGTGCAGGATGCTGTAGATGTGCTAGAGATTTCGAAGAGCAACCGCTCCGTTCTTTCCATCACTTCTGGCTTCTGCGACTGCGTCTGTTGCAAACTCTGCTTGAATGCCTTGAAGCTTTTGAAGCGGCCATGTGATGATTTGCAGACTGGTGTTCGCATCGGTGTTGGTGTGGACATAAAACCTTATAACCATTGGCTCTTCCGCGACTGGGCTTCTGTCATTCCAGATCTGAAAGTCGAGGGATTTGTCTGCGCTTGTCCGCGATAACAAGTTAATTGGCGGAGGAGCTCGTTGTCTTGTGGACTCTAGCATCAGCGGTGTTACCGAAGTCTGCTTCATTCCCAATCGCATGCTTCTCCCACGCACAGACACACAAGGCACATTGTGTGCAGGAGGATTGGGTTCTGGGCCCCTTGATATTCACAGACTGGTACTCATCCAGCCGGATGATCAAGAGCTTTTCCTTTGAGGGCAGATTCTTCATCTCCAAGACTCTGAACTTCGGTGCCCCTTTTGGTGGGGTCGTTTGGCTGGAGCTCTGATGAGAATCGCATTTTTCTTGCCCCATTTTCTTTGGGATTGCGTGGACGATTTTTTAGGTGCTTTTCGCAAGGCTACCGCGCCACTTCAGGTGGGTTTATGGGTCTTGTGCTTCGAGTGCCCATCAGCTGACAAGCGGAGCAGGCTGTTGCAGGGCTTGGATGATGTGTTGAGTGCTCCTAAGACCAAGCTCAAAACGCTGGAGTCCTTGATCGGCCGACTGCTATGAATTTCCGGCTTGTGGAAGTGCCTTCGCCCATTGCTTTCGCCGCTCTATGCTGCACTGCAGGCCATACCGGCCTCCTGCGTGGCCGTGTCACCGGCGTTGTGGCAGGCACTCTTGGATGCTGTTGATGATCACTGTGTGATCTGCCATGACGTTGGTCATGCTTCGTTTCCGATTGGGAGTCGTGTGATTCGCGTGGCGAATACGGCTACGCACAGAAAGGCCCATATGGTCCGCATGGTCTTCCAGCACCGTCGCCTTTGGGTCATTGTTCAGTCAACGGACCATCCTTTCCGGGAGATCTCCAGTCCAGCCCGGGATGCTCTTGCGACCTGGCGGGCGATTCTTGAAGCATCCCCCCTCTCGTTTGTGATACGTCAGCCAATTCACCTTTCGGTACTGGCTGAGGCGGACGCGTGTGCATCTGAGAAGGGGTGCGGTCTCGGAGGTCTGCTGGCCATCTGGACGCCAGGTCTGGTTCTCGGTTTCCTTGACTGCTGATGAGATTGCCAACCTTGACCCTGTTTTCCAGGGATGCCCGCAAGCTCATATAGCGGCCTTTGAGCTCTTGGCTCAACTCTGTCTTTTGTGGCTTGTGGACACTCCTGTGCCAGGCTGTCGCTCTTTGGTTGCTGTCAGTCTTCGCTGCGATAACGCGGGCGCGGAGGCTGCTACGGCAAAAGGACTCTCTGGCGTCCGTTCTCTTGCCCTGGTCCTGCAAGCCTTCACACTTGTGTGACAGCGTTTTATGCCAGATGAACTCAAAAATTCTTTGATGGGAATTTTTGTGTCCATGTTCTGCATGATGTTCTGTTGGGAATTTTCGTCTGACCCGTGCATGCACTCTCATGAGAATTTGTGAATTGCATGTTGAATGGGTCAAGGTTCTTGCTCGCAGCAAGCTGGCGAAATTTTTTTGTTCCGGGTTCGGGGCCGTACTAGTGCTGTGCTAGAGGTCTCAGTTCCCCTGTAACCCGAGTTTGCCGCTAGGGCTCGTGCACGCCGGCCCGCGGGGCCGGCAGATGGACCTCGAGGCCCCTGAGTCTCCTGCCGCAGCTGCCCAGTCCGTGCCTGTTGAGGTTCGCCTTGCATCCTTGAGCCGTGACGTGGCCCTGCTCGGGCGTCATCTGCGCAGTGTTCAACACCGTTTGGTCAGCCTTGAGCATCGGGTCCTCGCCTTGCAGTCCCGTGTGCAGGATAACGCTGATCAGCTTGAACAGGACTCCACCCGCCTTGCTGCTATCAGCCACTTTCTACAGGCCCTGGTACAACACTTGAGCTTCCTTTTGCGCGGCCTTTTGCACGCCCTGCCTGTGCGCCTTTGATGCCGATTTCTGATGCTAGTGAAATGGGGAGTGACGATCAGCCTGTTCCTGCCCCATCTCATGCCTTGTCAGGTCCCGAGAGCTTGAGCCAGGACACCCGGCAAGCTTTACATGTCCTGTCCTGCACGGCCTCGGGTCGGTCGCTGTGGAAAATGCCCTGGGATGTGGGTCTATTGGCCTATGACCCCACGCCCAAGCCCTTGAAGCCTTTGGCGACAGTGCTGCTGACTTTTGCGAGTCCCACTCCATCAAGCGAGCCAGTCGATACTCCCCCGGTTCTGCAGAAGCTTAAACGGCCGTGTTTTGTTCAGAATGTCCCTTACAAATTTGTAAAGACCAAGCTGGAAACTAAAACTTGGTTGCAATTGCAAAACGAGGAGCGGCATCTTGCAGTGAGCAAGTGGATTTCCGTTGTCGCGTGTGATCCCATGTCTTTTGGTGTCGCTCGCAACTGGTATCAAAGCAAAGTCGCAGGTCACTGTGTTGGCACGCTTTCCGATAGCGTCGCAGATGCTCTTTCAGCAAAGGCGACAGCCACTGTGAATAATAGGGCCTCACACCTCTTGCGGTTTGTGGTTTGGACGCGGGGAAGGAATATGCTTCCGTTTCCATTGGTCGAGGCAGCCGTTTGCCTGTACATGGACTCAAACCGCGCGACGGCTGCTCCAACCGCCTCTCGAAGTTTCCTTTCCTCCGTCGCATTTGCGAAGTTCGTTCTGGGGATGCCTTCGGCCGATGAGGTCCTTTGTTCGCATCGAATCACGGGCCTTTCTGCGAGGACATATCAACTCAAGAGGCCACTGAAGCAAAGACTCCCCTTCACTTGTGCACAAGTCAGGAAGCTGGAGGCGATTCTTTCAGGTGGGCTACGCCGCTCGACGACGGACCGAGTGGCTGCAGGTTTCTTCCTCTTTATGATAGGTAGCCGGGCCCACTTCTCAGATGCCCAGAGGGTGACCGAGCTCAGGCTCCCGCGCGGAGCAAAGTACATCACTGCTGTTGCGTCGCGCACTAAGAGTTCGACCTCACTTGAGCGCAAGACTCGCATGCTGCCCTTGGCTGCTCCTGTTGTGATGCTTGATGCCGAACGTCCGTGGGGCGTGACTTGGTTTGAGCTTTTGGAGTCTGAAGGTCTAGGCCCAGATCAAGAGTGCCCGCTTCTTCCGCTGGCCAAGTCAGACGGGACTTGGGCTAAGGTGCCTTTGCCTTGTGATATGGCCAACGTGTGGCTGAAGTCATTGCTCGATTTTGGCAGCGATTCCTACGGCAGTTATGGGACGCACTCCTGCAAACGCACACTTCTTGCTTGGTCGTCCCAGTTTGGGCTTGCGAGAGATATCCGCTGCATTTTGGGTTACCACGTGTCCAGAGCTGCAGGTGTAGGAACCGAGATTCTGTATGAGGCCGACGCGCAGGCTCAACCTCTCCGGGAGATGTCGAAGATGCTCCTGTGGGTCCGGAAGGGCGATTTTGATCCTGATGCCCCGAGAGGTCGCAAGTTCAGGGTTGCTGATGGCGAAGAACAGCCTGTTCCCGAGGATGAAGATGACTGTGGAGAGGACGCAGCTTCGTCCTCTTCGGAGGGCAGCGAAGATGACGAGACCCCTGATCGCAGGTTGGATGAAGATTGCGCCAACCAGCTCCTAGGACGCTGGACCGGGAGAGTCGACGAGTCGCTGCTGCCTGTGAATGAGGTTTATGTACGCAACTTGGTGTCGAGGGTCATCCACGTCGCCGCTGAGGAGGGCGGCGAAATTTTGATTTGTGGAAGGCCGATCAACGCAACGTATGAGGGTTGCGAGGGAAGGCCTGTAGTGCTTCACCCCAGGTGTAAACAGTGTTTCAAACGTTTTGTGCGCTAGCGGCAGTGCCTAGAGAGATGTGAGTGGATCGCGGCGCGTCGTACAAATGAGGTTCGACCTTTGGGCTTATTGCATCAGTTTTATAACCCACTCTTAGTGGAGGCGAAGCCAGCTCTGAGCTGACATGCACGTGTTCTATGTCCATTCTCTGCCACTCTTAGTGGTGGAGTGGCAGCTCTAAGCTGACATGCACGTGCTCAATGTCCTTGAAAGCACACTCTTAGTGGAGCAATCTGGAAGCTCTAAGCCGCTGTGCACGTGCTTTACGCCCAGCTCGGAGCTGACATGCACTCGATTGTGCTTCATGTTGGTTCACTGCCACTCTTAGTGGTGGATTGGCAGCTCTAAGCTGACATGCACGTGCTCCATGCCCCTAAAAGTCCACTCTTGGTGGCGGGCGCTACTTGCATACATGGGATTTATGCCAAGCTCTGAGCTGACATGCACTTGCTTTACGCCCAGCTCTCAGCTGGAAGATGCACCGCCTGTCATTCCCTGACGCGTCCTCTTTCTTTTACTTTTAATGCTTGATATGCCAGCCACAGCTCGTTCTATCATATCTATTTGCTTGTGTGCAATGTGACGCTCACTCTTAGTGAGCGACAGCTCTCAGCTGAAAACGTGCGCGACCTATACGCGGGCTCGGAGGTGAGTGTGCAGCTCTCAGCTGCCTATTGAGGCTTTGAGTGCAGTGTCTCGTTGCTGTTCCGCAGACATGTCTGGGAAAGCTTACTGCTGCCTTGAGGTGCCGTTTACGGTTCAAGAAGGCGCAGCCGTGTGCACCATGGCGGCGTATTCGGAATCCATTCCAGTGTTCCGAGCCCGATGCGCAGCGTGTGGACTTGATGAAGCCGAGACGGAGAGTCTTGTCGCTGCCGGCCTTACAACTTTGGCGAAGGTCGCTTTCTGCAGTGCTTATACCCCAGGCGCTGGTGACGATGGCAGTCTCATCTTAGCCCTAGCAACTGCGTTGGGTAAGGAGCCGACCTTGGGGCAAAAGGCCTCTTTCCGACGGCTCTTTCACGAGTCTTTCTCAGTTACGACTTATGAGATGAAAGGTTTGGTAAGCCAAACGGAGGAGAGTGCACCGCGAAAGCTCTCGGTCCCGGAAAGGGCTGAGAGGCATTCCGCCATTGTGAAGCGACTTCCAGGTCTTGACATTAGAAACCGCACTGAACCGTCTGATTCATTGCTTGATCTGTGTGTTTCAATGTATGAGAATAACAAGCTTCTTTATGTGGAGTGGGACCGCCTGACGAGTAAGGAGCAGGAGCAGACGCTGAGCGCCAAGTTCTTTCTGTTGATGCGGCCGGCATGTTGCGGACCGAAAGATCCTCTCCGGCGATCGCCGATACTTCGACTGAGCTTCTACTCCTTCTTGCCATGACTCGCAGAGCGGTGGCCTTTGAGATGGCAAATATCCTTGACTATAACCTGCATGCGCGCTGGAGCGAGCGCCTGCAAAGTGCCCGTTTGGACCCTGTGCTTGCGGGTCATTTGCAACCCACCTTTCAGCAACTGCAGGCTGCTGATCGCCGTCTTTTCATGCTTCTTGCGGACCGAACAAGAACCGGTATCCAACTGAATGCCACAGGCAAGCGGCCGCTTAACTTGATCTTTGTTGAGTGCACCCAAGCTTCGGAAGTCCTTCACCTTTTGCAGCCCCTTCCCAAGGCCCAAGGCGGGCCGTCTCCCCCCAACGAGAGTGCTGATTGTGGCGGCCCTTACCAAAGAGGTCGAGGTTGCAGGAGAGGCCAGAAGGGAGGTCGCAAGGGCGCTGGCAAGGGCGTTCGAATGCCCTTCGGGCTCCAGGGCTGCCGTCCTTGCACCAATAACTCCGAGCCCATCTGTTTCGATTTTAACCTTAAGAAGTGCCGTGAAACAGTCACACGAGGCCGTTGCCGGAAAGGTCTTTATATCTGCGCTGTCGGTTGCTGCGGACGTACACATCCTGCCCTGGATTGTCCTAACAAGCCGGCGGCCATGGGTGCCAAGGCCTGACAGTCCGGGGCGGGGCTGCCTTTGTCGCCTGATCCTGTATGGAAGCCCCCTGTTTCTGCAAAGACTCTCGACAGCGTTTGCGATGCCGGCGCTAATTCCCTGTCCCGCCACTCCCCGACTGCCCTTAATTTGCCTGAAACCTTGTTATGTACAGGTTGCATTCTGTCTGGTTTCGAGGCCTTGATGCACGCATACCCCGCACCGGTGCATCGTGCGGAAATTTTGGCTTTTTCCATGCTTCAAAAGCGCATTCTGGTCCGCTTGCAACTTGTCGTGGTGGATTTGCTCACCTTGGAGCCTTCGCCGCGGGCCGAGACTGGTCGTGCTTTCGCTGCCGGGGCTTATGGTCAGGGTGCACTGGTTGGGTTTCGTAAGAATACCCTGGTTTTCCCTTTCTGTGTTTTTGCCTTGACTTCCTGGCTGCGCCTGCTGTGCCCAGATGCCATTTTCTCAGCCATTGTTCTTCTGGATGCTGACAACGCTCCATTCCATAAGGATGTGCGTAACCATCCTGTGCCTAACACTGTTGCGCCTTTGACCGTTTTCCAAGGTGGTCTGCTCTGGGTGTCCAAGGTGGCCCTTTGTCCTGGAAGCATGGCGCCATAACCTTCGACGTCTATCGCCTGTGGCATAAAGTCCTGCCCTGGACGGGGCGCAGGCTTGTCTTGGTGGGCTTCACTCCTGCCTCCTGCCACCCGCTCCAGCCTGACGATCGTGCCAAACTGGGTGCCTTGGGTTTCCCCCTCCCTCCGCTCCCCCAGGCCGCTGCTGCATCTGAGCCTGTGCGACGCTCGCGCTCTCCTACTCCCACTTCCGCTGTTGTGGCCTGTTCAGGTTCTAGGCCTAGGTCGCCTCCCCCTGGTTTGCCGGGTTCCCTAGTCTCCCCAACTCCAACCGGCACGCCGCCTTTGTTCATCAAGCTTTGCGCCGGTAGTGCCCTGCTTTCACAAAAGGCCGAGGAGGCTGGTTTTCGGTCTTTGGCTGTTGACCATCATGGCAATCGCTTTAAGCCGCATGTGCATGTTCTGCAGCTGGATCTCCGCAGCCCCTCCTCCTGGGAGTTCCTTCGTGGCGTCTTGTCATCCCAAGCCGTGGCTCATGTTCATATTGCCGTGCCGTTCGGCACCTGCAGCCGCGCCCGCGATTTGTCACCTGGGCCCCCCCCTCTGCGCGACCTCCATCATGTCTGGGGTCTTCCGGGGCTCTCACTTACTGATCATGCTCGTGTCCAAAGTGCCAATGCAATCTATGAGGGCGCTGCTGGTTTCTTCGAATTTATCCTGGCTTCTTTTCCTCAGACCGGCGTCTCAGTGGAGAACCCTCTGCATTCCTGGCTTTGGATGTTGCCGCCTTTTGCTTCTTTGATGCAGCGCTGCACTTTCGTTGCTTTTGCAGGCATGGCTCCAACAGGCGCAAGGCTACGGGCCTTCTCACCAACGTACCAGGTTTGGGGGTCCTTAGTGGACCGTGCCCAGGTTGTGCTGTGCATCAGCCCTGGCAAGTCCAAAACGGCGAGTTTGCCACCGCCCGTGAGGCGGCCTACCCGCTTCTTTTCTGCCAGCGGTTCGTAGCGGCGGTTGCGGCCTCTGCTTCAGCATCTGGGTTGGGCCCTGATCCCGATGCCCTTTCTGCCCATGCTTCCGCGCGTGCAGCCAACCACGTGCAGCCACGCGGGCGCCGCTTTCCGCCCCTCATACCCGAGTACAGCTATACTGTCACTGTGTTTTCTGAGGTGCCGCCGCCACTCAATGCTAAGCGTTGCCTGCCAGATCCTTGGCTGGGTGTGCCGGCCGGCAGCCGTTTCCTGCGACAGTCACTTGAAAGGGGGGGAGTCGCTCTTCCCGACTTCCCAGGGCCGTCGTACGTTACCTTTGGCGAGCCGTTGCAGTATGTGCATCATGCGCTTTCCCTGCAGCATCCTTTTGACCTGGCTCGGGCCGTGCCTGATGACCTTCTGCGCGTACTCTTTAAGACTTTGACGGGTGGGCCTGTGGCAGTCCTCCGTTCTAGGTTGCTTAAGCTTCGGCAATGGCGAGCTTGGGCTAAAGAGCTTGAGTCGGAAAATGCAAAACTTTTTGCCTCGATGCACAAGGATGTCGCAGCCGTCCTCAGAGGAAAGAGGCTGGCCCTGCTCGAGAAAATTGGACGGTCTTTGGGTTGGCCGGATGAGGCCATCTATCGGGACCTTGCCGATGGTTTTCGCATAACCGGCTATCTTCCTGCGACAGGAGTTTTTGAGCCTGACGTGCGCCCTGCAGAGCTTGATGAGCAGGAGTTCTGGACCCGAGCGCCCGCTCTCCAGAATTCCTTGGTGGAGAAGATTCGAAAGCAGGCCATTGCTGACTTCGAGCAACCCCTGTGGGAGCTGACTCTGGACGAGGCCGACCCGAACTCAAAGGCATGGCTTCACGGGCCTCTCTCCTTGGAGGAGGTCAGGCAGCGTTTCGGCGACAAATGGTGCCCTTGCAGAAGATTCGCGGTATGGCAAAAGAAGTGGCGACCTATCGACGATCTCAGCGAGAACCATGTTAACTCGACATTTGGAGCTTTCGAGAAGGTTGCCTTGAGGGCCCTCGACGAGATTGTGTGGGTCTGCTCAACGATCTTTCGCTACGCTTCCTCCCGAGGAGATGTTTCTTTGACCCTTTCAGATGGCACGTGCCTGAGTGGAAAAGTACATGCCATGTGGGAGCAGAGTGATAACATCAGGCCCCTCACGAAGACCTACGACTTGAGGTCTGCTTACAAGCAGCTGCCGCTGCACCCAGAAGAGCAAAGGAAGGCTGTCATCATGCTGCGAGAACCTGGGACCCGTGAGCCCAGAGCCTTTGTATGCCGGACCCTACCCTTCGGTTCCGCGGCTTCGGTTCTGCAGTTCAACCGGGTCTCTTTGTTGCTTAGGCGCATCCTCCTTGAGGTCGACGTGCTTGCCTCCTGCTACTACGACGACTACCCTTGCACTGCGCCTAAGTGTCTTGCAGAAGCCACCGATGGCTGTGCCCATGCGGTTTTCACTCTTTTGGGTTTTGACACTTCGGTGGACAAAGAATGTAGCTTTTCTACGCAAACCGAGCTGCTGGGTGTCACCCTTGATACTTCCGATCAAGGGTATCAGGCTGTCCGGGTAGCAAATAAGCCAGACCGTGCCAGCGCCATTGCTGAGTCACTCGAGATGGTCATGAAGCAAGGGAGAGTGAGGGTGGCCGAGCTTCCTGCCCTTTTTGGCAGGCTCCAGTTTGCCGAATCACAGCTCTCGGGAAGATCCGGCCGTCTGGCGTTGGCTGACCTTCGCAAGCTTGAGGCTGCGAATGCTGTGAGTGTTCCCTTAACGCCCCATCATCTTGAAGCCTTTGCTCTTCTCTTGCGCCGCATGCGCTCCGGGCCGCCCCGAAGCATTTCCACAGCGGGCGATCTTTTGCCCGTGCTTGTCTTCACCGATGGCGCATGCGAACCCAGGGGAGATAAGTTCGAGTGCAGTGTGGGGGGCTTGCTAATCGTTCCGGGCTCCCGCGCGACGATGAAGGTCTTTGGCTGCCGAGTGCCGGATGCCGTTGTGCAGGTGTGGGCAGAGGGAAGGAAACACATCATAGGGCAGACCGAGCTGTATGCCGTGGTCCTCGCTCGAGTGCTGTGGAGTAACGACCTGTCAAATCGTAGGGTCGTCTACTTTATCGACCATTCAGGCGTGCAGGGCGCATGCATGACCGGGACGTCATCCGACTCATCCTGGAGGCAACTTCTTATGGCCTTTGAAGTTGCAGATGAAGCGAGGCCTTGCATGTCCTGGTTCCATCGGGTTCCAAGCCACTCAAATCCAGCCGACGCCCCGTCAAGAGGCCGTTGGCATGACATGTCGTGTTTCAAACCTTTTGTCGAGGAGACACCGCGTTGTTTCCTCACTGGCACAATCCTCGAAAGGATGGAGTGAAAAGGGGAAAGAAGGCTGGTGGCTCTACGCCACTTCTTGTGTTTGAAATGTGGGCGTGGCTCCATGCCACGCGAAGAGATGTGTACCATTCCCCTTTTCGCGTTGCGAAGGCAGAGAAAAACAAGGGATAGCTGTCCGCTTGCTGTTGAATCTTGGTCGCTGTTTTCAATAATTTGTTTTAATATGTTTCGGCAACATATATTCGAACATGGACTTCATCTTTGGCATAAGACAGCTTTTTTGTGGTTTCAAAGAACCCTACGGCGTTCTGGCAGAGGTGACACACGTGCCTGGTTTCAAAAACCAGTTGGCTGACGAACTTAGTCGGTGGCAGAGCGGCGCTCCGCCTCTGCCCTTGACTTCTCGGTTTCAGCCTCCTGTGCGCCGCCTTCTTGCTGGTGGAGTCAATCGGCTTCAGCTTGCGTCACCCTGCGGATTGGCGAAATGCTTCGCTGAGAAAAATGTCTCTGAATCATATGGCATGCCTATGCGTTTCCCGAAGGCTTTTTTGGCTTTTCCCCGATATCTGCGGGTCGTGAAAACGATTTGGGTATTTTGGCCTTTCCCCGCTTTTTTCCCGTTACAGTTTTCTGTACGTGTCGGGGAAAAAGTTTCCGGGTACGCTTACTCGGATTCTTACCTTCGGGGGATTTGTTGCCTTGGGACACCCTGCGTTTTTTGCACGCCATTTCCTTCGGATGGAGACAAAAAAGGGAGTGCGCTGTATTTGGGTGCACTTGGCTTCATTTTATTTGAGATTATTCCTTCTCCGGTTTTGTTCGGAGCGGATGAATATCAGGTGAACGTAACGGACCGTGAGCTTCAAACGGTATGTGTTTTTGAAACACGGCTGTTTGGGGCGGCTGGCCCGGAAGGCACCTGTTTTTCGCTCTAGGTGTTTTTGGGATTGATTTTTCATTGCTTGTCGCATGCTTCATTTGTGCTGCTTGGTATTCTTGCTTATTTTCCTTATTTTCCTGCAGCACTTGTTGGCACGGGACCTGCCATCAGACAAGCGTTTTTAGTTCTCCCACCTCCTCCCCTTGCACCTGCCTTGGGGCGTTTCAACGCCTGCGGTTGTCTCGGCATTGGCCTTTCCCCGCTTTTTTCCCGTTACAGTTTTCTGTACGTGTCGGGGAAAAAGTTTCCGGGTACGCTTACTCGGATTCTTACCTTCGGGGGATTTGTTGCCTCGGGATACCCTGCGTTTTTTGCACGCCATTTCCTTCGGATGGAGACAAAAAAGGGAGTGCGCTGTATTTGGGTGCACTTGGCTTCATTTTATTTGAGAATATTCCTTCTCCGGTTTTGTTCGGAGCGAATATATATTCGGATGAATATCAGGTGAACGTAACGGACCGTGAGCCTCAAACAACGAAGAAGAAGATTTTGGGGAAGGGCGACGTCCCCAGCGACAGGGTTGTGCTGGGTTTGACCATGTTTTGAAGGGACTGAGAATAGCGGGTGGGTTTGGGGTGGGTTCGGCGTGGATTTGGGGTGGGTTTGGCTGGGTTTGACCATGCTTTGAATGGACTGGGGTGGGTTTGACCGTGTTTTGAATGGACTCGGGGTGGGTTGGACCTGTTTAGAAGGGGTGCGGATGGGTGGGGTGGGTTTGACCGTGTTTTGAAGGTGGGATGGCTTTGGGGTGGTTTTGACCATGCTTTGACGGGGCTAGGATGGGTTTGACCATGTTTTGAAAGGGCTGAGGGTAGCTTTCGGGTGGATTTGGGGTGGGCTTGGGCGGGTTTGACCATGCTATGAAGGGGCTGGGTTGGGTTTGACCTCTTTTGAAAGGGTTGGGGTGAGGGGGGCTTGACTGTGTTTTGAAGAGGCTGGGAAGGGGGCTTAATTTCCACAGCAAGTGCTAGGAAACCGAGTTCCTGCCTCGGCTTAACCTGCTTGAGAACATAGCGAAGGTCACTTTCCTGCTGCGTGATGGAGGCCCTCCACCCCCGTCGTAGAGTCTTAGCAAAATGGACCAAGGTGGCGAGCCTGCCCGCGAACGGCGGAGTCGTTGTGTTCCCGAATTTCAAAACATTGTTTTGTTATTCCGGGAAACCTAGGACTCCACGGCGCTCTATTGGTAAATTGCAATTTGCGAGGACTCCGCCGACTCCGCCGAGGCTTGTCACGCCGACTCCGCCAGAGCTACAGTAGGTGCCCCTCTAATCTTGATTAGTGACGCCGCGTAAGTGGGCAGGGGTACAGTTGCGGGAAGAGCACGTGACTATTCGCTGGAAGTGTATCAGATAGTAGAAGCAGAAGGCAGTGTGCGCGTGAGGCTTGCAGCTGTGATTCTGTCACCTCCAAATCTGGGGTCGAAAAATCTAGGCAATTCTGGCTTCGTGTGTGTGGGCCTCCCCTGTGCAAGTTTCTCTCATGTTGATCACTTCCACAAGAAAGCTGCTTGCGGAGGTTGTGGTTCTCAGTAATTGCTCTTTCCACGTTGAGTGCTTGTCTGTGGGGGGGTTTCACCCCCCCCAATCTAGTTCCAAATTGTATTGCGGGAGCTGGGTCCATTTCGCGGCCCCATTTTTGGGGCCGCGAGACGGCCCGTTTTTTTGGCCCTTGAATTTGAGCCTGTGGGCGCAAGCAACCGGATCGCGCCTGCCCTTTTTCTGGTAACTTTGGGCAGCGTCGCGCTGAGCGTGTGGGGGCTTGTCCGAAGCAGCTGCACGCTCGTCTTTGTAATGCTGCAGTGAGGCAGAACTGCAACTGTGGAGGCCCGTCCTGGCGAAGCCAGAGTTGCTTGTGTTTTGCGGCCCTGAAAGCAGGGTCGCCCGACTTCCCCGTAACTTGGGCTTCGTCCTGACGATGCTGCTGGCCCGCCAGTTGAGCTGCAGGTCTTTGTTGGTGTTTTCTGTGGATAGGAGTCACGCTTCAAGCTCTGGGGAGTTGACCAACGTGGCCTCAACGTTTTCTGCGGTTGTGCAGTCAGTCGTTTGCTAGACATTGCAGAATGAAAGTTTTTGGCAGGCTTGGGCTTTGAACAGCAAAGATATTTAAGCGTGTTGTTGTGCAGGCCCGGATTTTAAGTTGATTAAGTTGCCGTGCGCCCAACGAAGAAGAAGATTTTGGGGAAGGGCGACGTCCCAGCGACAGGGTTGTGCTGGGTTTGACCATGTTTTGAAGGGACTGAGAATAGCGGGTGGGTTTGGGGTGGGTTCGGCGTGGATTTGGGGTGGGTTTGGCTGGGTTTGACCATGCTTTGAATGGACTGGGGTGGGTTTGACCGTGTTTTGAATGGACTCGGGGTGGGTTGGACCTGTTTAGAAGGGGTGCGGGTGGGTGGGGTGGGTTTGACCGTGTTTTGAAGGTGGGATGGCTTTGGGGTGGTTTTGACCATGTTTTGACGGGGCTGGGATGGGTTTGACCATGTTTTGAAAGGGCTGAGGGTAGCTTTCGGGTGGATTTGAGGTGGGCTTGGGCGGGTTTGACCATGCTATGAAGGGGCTGGGTTGGGTTTGACCTCTTTTGAAAGGGTTGGGGTGAGGGGGGCTTGACTGTGTTTTGAAGAGGCTGGGAAGGGGGCTTGATTTCCACAGCAAGTGCTAGGAGACCGAGTTCCTGCCTCGGCTTAACCTGCTTGAGAACATAGCGAAGGTCACTTTCCTGCTGCGTGATGGAGGCCCTCCACCCCCCGTAGAGTCTTAGCAAAACGGACCAAGGTGGCGAGCCTGCCCGCGAACGGCGGAGTCGTTGTGTTCCCGAATTAAAAAACATTGTTTTGTTATTCCGGGAAACCTAGGACTCCACGGCACTCTATTGGTAAATTGCAATTTGCGAGGACTCCGCCGACTCCGCCGAGGCTTGTCACGCCGACTCCGCCAGAGCTACAGTAGGTGCCCCTCTAATCTTGATTAGCGACGCCGCGTAAGTGGGCAGGGGTAGAGTTGCGGGAAGAGCACGTGACTATTAGCTGGAAGTGTATCAGATAGTAGAAGCAGAAGGCAGTGTGCGCGTGAGGCTTGCAGCTGTGATTCTGTGACCTCCAAATCTGGGGTCGAAAAATCTAGGCAATTCTGGCTTCGTGTGTGTGGGCCTCCCCTGTGCAAGTTTCTCTCATGTTGATCACTTCCACAAGAAAGCTGCCTGCGGAGGTCGTGGTTCTCAGTAATTGCTCTTTCCACGTTGAGTGCTTGTCTGTGGGCCAGAGTCGCCTGAGTGTAGCAGTCTGGAAAGCGCCAAAAATAGAAGAATTCGCGGCCCCAAACTGGGGCCGCCAAACGGCCCCAATTTTGGGGTCGCAGTTTCACCCCCCCCAATCTAGTTCCAAATTGTATTGCGGGAGCTGGGTCCATTTCGCGGCCCCATTTTTGGGGCCGCGAGACGGCCCGTTTTTTTGGCCCTTGAATTTGAGCCTGTGGGCGCAAGCAACCGGATCGCGCCTGCCCTTTTTCTAGTAACTTTGGGCAGCGTCGCGCTGAGCGTGCGGGGGCTTGTCCGAAGCAGCTGCACGCTCGTCTTTGTAATGCTGCAGTGAGGCAGAACTGCAACTGTGGAGGCCCGTCCTGGCGAAGCCAGAATTGCTTGTGTTTTGCGGCCCTGAAAGCGGGGTCGCCCGACTTCCCCGTAACTTGGGCTTCGTCCTGCAATGCTGCTGGCCCGCCAGTTGAGCTGCAGGTCTTTGTTGGTGTTTTCTGTGGATAGGAGTCACGCTTCAAGCTCTGGGGAGTTGACCAACGTGGCCTCAACGTTTTCTGCGGTTGTGCAGAGTCGTTTGCTAGACATTGCAGAATGAAAGTTTTTTGGCAGGCTTGGGCTTTGAACAGCAAAGATATTTAAGCGTGTTGCAGGCCCGGAGTTTTAAGTTGCCATGCGCCCAACGAAGAAGAAGATTTTGGGGACGGGCGACGTCCCCAGCGACAGGGTTGTGCTGGGTTTGACCATGTTTTGAAGGGACTGAGAATAGCGGGTGGGTTTGGGGTGGGTTCGGCGTGGATTTGGGGTGGGTTTGGCTGGGTTTGACCATGCTTTGAATGGACTGGGGTGGGTTT